TTAAATATAAATTTATTATGAAAATTTTGTAATGTTTTCAATAGTTATTTTATTATTAATTTGAGTTCATTATTATTTAGTAAAATATATATATATATATATATATATATATATATATATATATATATATATATATATATATATTAATTATTTCTGAAATTTGTTTTTGAATAATTGTTTTTAATCGTTATTGAATAAAAAATAATAATGATTTTTTTTATTTTTAATAATTTCTAGAGTAAACAAAAAATATTAACATTGATAAACGCAAACCCATGTTAATTACTAAACAACGATTTTGTTTCGACTAACAAAGAAAAATTTAAGTTTTTAAATATTTTTAAAATTTTTAAAAGCGTTCAAAAGCGTTTAAAAGCGTTCAAACTTGCGTTTTATAAAAATATAAAAAAGTTTTGTCTGCTTTGTGCATATTTTTGATACGTAGTTTAGAACGCGTTCGCTAGGAATTTAATTCATAAATTTTTTATGTTATTGTAAAAATATTTAACTTTTTAAACAAATCACAAAGAAACAGAGCTATAGAGAAAAATCGTTTTCAACGATTAAAACTTTTTTTTTTTTAATTTTAGGAAATTAAAAAAAAAATTAAATTAAATATAAATGTCTTAACTATGCAAACTCTTTTGTTAATTATTCTTAAAACAAAAAAAAAACAAATACTTCTACGCCAAACTTTAATCGTGCAAACTTAAAAAAATACTCAACTGAAATAATTTAAGTATATTTAATAATTTGAATCGTATCTGTTTATAATAAACGTTCGTAAAAATTTGTTTATTAAAAATTAAGTTCTTTAACTTATAAACAAACTCAAAAGTATTTTCATTCTACGTATAATTACTCTTTTTTTTTTCGTTTGAAAGCAATTTAACTTAATAAAATAAAAAAAAGAATAAATGAGGTAATCTTTGTTAAGAATAACGTTAATTTATTTATTGAACTATATTTTTATTTTTAATTATATATCAACTTAATTAAAATATAGTAACATGTTAAAATATTTTAACATGACTTGTATTATTTATAAACCGTTGGGCAGTTGCCCTTACGGCACTATTGTTTTTGGATAATATTTTATTTTGATAAAGATCACATAACTTACATTTGATTTTAATAACGTAAGTCTTCTCTTTTTCTGTGATCATCGCATCGGCAAAGCATCGGCAAAGTCCCAAGATTTAAAAGTTTTTAAAGTAAATCTTTTGTCCTTCAAAATACAATCCATATTTGAACTTTAAACAATTTAGAGATAATAGAAATAAACAAGGTTTTTATATACTAATTTGTTTTGTTTTATAAAGAAAAATACATAATCATTAGTAAAAAATGGAGACTGTCATTAAACTAAAACGTGCCTTAGTATTTATTTAACGGAACCTGTAATGTGCGCGTGCATAATAAAACCTCCGTTATATAAATATACTCAACGTAATATTAGTGTCATCAGCGGATGTTGTAGTCTACTCATGATTTCTTTACCTTATATTATAACTTGATTTATGAAAAAAAAAACTTATTGAATTGCACGCAGAAGAATTTTAACAAATTGTCTTCATTCAAATATTGCGAGTAACAGATAATTTTTTTTTTCTGTGCCGACCCCCTCCCCCCGCATAACTTAAATTATATACTAATAAACTAATAAGAAAAGCTATATACTATTAAACTAACTATAAGCTATATACTATTAAACTAATAAGAAAAGCAAAGACATTTTTTTTAACATCTCGAAAAAATGTCTTGATATTTTTGTTATCATGATAACAAAAATATTAAGACATTTTTTGAGATTTTATTAAAAAAAAATGTCAATTCTTAATTACAAATTTTTTTGCAAATGTTTTTTATTATAAATTCAGTAAAAAATTCATAAAAAATCTATTATTACAAAAAACTTTTATATTCTGTATTAATAAATATGTAATATAGATTTTTTAAAAGTTTTTTTACTAAAAACTTTAAAAAATTACTACTTTTTATTAAAAACATTGCAAAAAATTTGTAGTTAAAGGTTGACAAACAATTTTTCATGTTGCTAAATATTTGGATAAAAAGTTTAGCGTCAATTAATTGCTATAAAAAGGAAAGATATATCGCAATGAAAAGTTACAATAATTATTTTTAAAGAAAATTCTTTTTTTTTAATAAATACCTTTACATAACGTTATTTAAAAGTTAATGTGGTTTTTTTGAAAATTAATTACTTCTTTTATGTTACCGCTAATTTAAAAGTTAAAAAATGATAAAAAGTAGCTTAACCAAAACAGCTCTACGCGTACGTAAAAAGCGCTTAAGGCGTACGTAAATCGCTCTAGGCGTAACGCTTTAAAACAAGGCCTGATATATATATATATATATATACATATACATATACATATACATATATATACATACATATGTATATATATATATACATACGTACATTACCGTCCATAGTTATTCAAATGGTCGTATACTTTACGATATAACATTTTTACTAAAGTTTTACTTACTAAAGGGAGAGAAACTGTAAGTCTACTGGAATTATATGTTCTTTTTATTAGGTTTACAAAAAAATTACTATAAAGTCCGATTAGATTAATTTACATACCTTTTAATCACCCTTAACAACAATAACCGCTACACATATTGTTGGCATTTTACTTAACAAATTTATCCAATTTGTCGAAGTCAATTTTATGTCACTAACTAACATGTTTTTTTCCACATCTTATGCATCATTAGCCATTACTTTTTCACATTACTTTTAATTCCTCCCATAAAAATCTGATAGGAGAGAGATCTTGAGATTGGGGAGGCTAAATCATTTTATTTAATACTTGATCATTCTCGAACCTAATAACTTCAAAAAATTTTTGAAAAACATGTTTTAGATTTAAGCTTCAAGTCATTTTCTTTTGAAAAAATGAGTAGTTTCTCATTAACCCTTCTCTCGGAATGTGTAGCATATTTATTTAGGTGTACAAGTAGTACATCTGTGGAATTCTAACCAAAACAGCCCCAAACCTTAAACTTAGTGCGAAAATAAACATAAAAAATAGTTAAATAAATAATAGCATTTTAAAAAAATTTAATGCTATTTGAATAATTATGAACGGTAATGTATGTGTGTGTATATATATATATATATATATATATATATATATATATATATATATATATATATATATATATATATAATATTGCCTATTGTTTTGCCACACATATATCAAGATATGTTCAGTTTTTATTTATTTTAAAGTTTATTAAAAAGTTGATCTTTTCTAGTTTAGAATAAAATGATAAAGCTACATGATAGTGAGAACAAGTTGCTAGTTAATGACGAATTTAAAGAAAGGTTACAGATTTTTTGTTTTTAAATAAAGTATAGTATTAACTTTTTTTAGTTGACAAGATTTTTTTAGAGAGCTAGTTTAAAATAGAAACTTTAAAGTTGGACTTTTAAAAACTTTTTTCTGTCAAGTGTATGCTAAATGTTTGCATGTTTTTCAAAATGTCAAGCCCCGATATAATTTTAGATCTTAATATAAAATTGAGTTTCAAAATTTAAGCTACACTTGTAAATCTGAAACAATAGTTAGTATTTATGCAATAATGGAAACATGGAGATAATTCAAGTATTTGTTGGAATAAAGTTTGTTGAAAAAAATTTTTTTTTTCAAGATTTTTGAATGTATTGATGACAAACAGTGCAATCTTTGTCTCTTTTCTATTTCTTATTGTTTTACTGATGTCTATTTTTTTACTGATGTCTATTTTTTTACTGATGATTTGGAAACTCTTATCATTTGTCACGCAGATAGTGTAAGTATTCCAATTATTACAATTTACCTAAATACAATAAGTAAAACAAAAACTAACAGCTCACATTGTGCAAATGCATTAACCAATACTTTTGGCTTGATCTATTTGACATAATATATGTTTTGATGTTTCTTATAGTACTCATCAAGACCACATTGATACCATCGATTGGCTATTGACTATATCTGAAAATTGTAGCAATGTCTTTCAGTTTTCATGGATTGAAAACAAACTTTTAACGCTTAATTTTAAACAGTTTTAGAATATTCTGAATGTTTTTATATCTTTATATTTTTTTACATTTTTATTTATGAACTTTTATTTTTATATTTAAAATTATTTTTTTTCAAATAAAAAAAAATGTTTACTAGTAGTTGATCTGCTAACTAAAAGACCACCCATTACACAAGGGATCCTCTTTCAATAATTTATTTTCAATTTATTTTCTAAACTTTTTATTACTTTTTCAAATTTCAATTCTATTTTCTAAATTATTTTTCAGACTCAAACAACATTAGTGATTATATTTTTATATTTTCTATTGAAAGACTTATTGTACAGTAGAGAGAATTTTTATTAAAGAATGTTTATATTCTGTGCTTTGGACTGTATATTTCAGCTTTTATTTAAAATGTTCATTCTTAACATACTTTTAGCCTTTAAGCACATACACTAAGGGAGGGAACAAATTAATTTATCAGAAAAAATGCATTTGAAGTGGATGGGGAGGGGGGGAATACAGACATGTGTGACAGGGGGAGTGGCAAAAATTGTTAAAAATAGCATTATATGATTTACAGATGGCTCCTACAAGTTGGTAACTCAATTTGCCTAATTTTTTAACTTCAAGGAAAATAATTTGAAACTAATTGTTGATAATAAAAAAAAGTACATTCATCTGTGCATATGCCGATTTTACACATTTTATTAAAAGTTTAATCAAGTTTAGTGTAAGTTTAGTATTGGGTAAAATTTCATGTAAAGTTATAAATAATAAACTATAATTTCTTAAAGTAAACAAATGTTTTATAACACCAAATTTCTTAAAGATGATTTATGACAGTTATTGGCTTATTTTAGTTAATGGTTATAAAATTGGTTTAATATTTTTATCAAATTGTTATTTTATGGTTTATTTATATTTATGGTTGTTAACAAATAATTATTTTGTTCAGCGAACTTGTTTGGTCTAAAATATGGATGGACTGTGTTATGACATGTGCCATGAAGTGTAGTTATTATACTGTACCCAACTTCAAAAGCATTTATTATACCTCTAAAGTTATTATCATGGCATCTTCATGCATTGTATGTTTGGTCAGCCTTGGTTGGTGGCTATGGTTATAGTAAGTTTTCCAAATCTTCTTTTGCTTAAATATTGTTTGTTATTTAAAAAAATACTCAAAATTATATTTTATATATTTTTTGTTTAATGTTCTGTATATGTTATTTAGTATTTTATAAATGTCATTATTTAAATTTTTTATTTTATTCTAACACTAAGGGGAAAAGAACTAAACTAAAGTTAACAATTTAATCAGAAATAACTGAATGGAAGATAATATAAGAATAGTTTTTTTTGAAAGCGAGTGAAGAATGAGAACGTGGTCTACTATATTCATGTCTATTTTTTTTGAGGGGTAATTTAGAGGCCAATTTTAAAAGTTTTTTGACATAAAAAAATGCTAAAATATCATTTTTTTTAAAACTATTTCTTTTACTAACTTTTAAATTTACTAATTTTTGAATAAATTTTATTAAACAAAGAAGTCAACTTGTTTTAAGTAATATCTACATTCATGATAATAGGAATGAAAGGATCTATTTTCTGAAAAATAGTGTTTTAAATCCTGTGGCTTTTAAACATTAATATTAATGTCAGGTCAGGTTATCCTGCTACTGGTAACATGTAACCCAGTACAGGGCGCGACAAATAAAAAAAAGACAGAAAAACAAACATCACATTTCCTTACTTTTACTTAAGCAAACATTGGCGTTCGCTTAAATTTTTTAAAAATGAACACATAACTTCAGCAATTTTTTTTCCAAATAATTATGCAATTGATAGTTTTATTATAAAAAAAAAACATAATTATTATAAAGAAACAATAAGTTACTAAAATTTAAAATGCATTTTCAACAACTTTAAAAAAAACCATGCCAATACTTTCTTCAATAGCGTTACTTTTAAGTACGCAACTGAAGAAAATAATGTTTTAGCATAGTTTTTACATGCGTTTATAAAAGCATGAGAAATTTGAGAAATAGATGTGAAGTGGTTAAGGCTATCACTCTTGACATTTCTAAAGCTTTTGATAAAGTTTGGCATGCTGGTCTTCTCCATAAGTTTTCTTCTTACAGTGTATCAGGTAACACCTTTAAGATTATTGAATCTTTTCTTTACAATCGTAGTATAAAAATTGTCCTCAAAGGACAATTTTTATACTATGGGTACTGCTCTAAAGTGCAAAAATGCATTGTAAACATAGTTGGACCTGCTCTTGTAGTCAACCTCTAACCATTATTGCATTGTTGTAATGTTGCTTCTTATTCTCTTTTCTACAAATACTATAAATGGGCAATGCCATAAAGAGCTAGTGTCTCTTGTGCAATCTATTATAATTCATTCTCGTGTTACTCGTCGTTCAATTAAGTCTCATCCTATTTCTGTGACTGTTCCAAAGTGCTCCAAAAACTCTTATATGTCTAGTTTTATTCCTCGAACATCTGTTCTTTGGAATTCGCTTCCTTCTTTTGCATTCCTGTTTCATATAATTTCCGTATTTCATAAATTGCTACATTCTTTAAAATATTCTTTAAAACTATGGTCTTATACAATACTTTTAAAACCAATTAATCAATAACCCTTTTCTAGTAGGAAGCAAAAAATCAAAAGCAAAGTTTTGTCGACCTGATGTCTGCTAAATATGGCACACTTGTGCCAATTTGAAATCTTTTGTATTTGACGGGCTGATAGTGTGCAATTGTTAAAATCAAAAATTAGTCAAAAACTTTAGAAATAACTTATTGAATAAAAAAAATTGTTTCTCCAGATTTTAAATACCATAATGTTAATATCAATATTGATTTTCCATCAGGATATATTATTTGGGATGATTCAGGCAAGATTTACTATAATAATAATATACTAAAAGGTATCCAACTTTGTTTGTGTTTTTTCACCTTGTCTAAAAGAGAAAGGACATTATTGGAAGCTCGGCCCCAGATATGGGAACAGTATTCCATATAAGGACAGATTTGAGATTTATAGAGATAAAGAATAGAATCCGGAATAAGAAAGTGGCGTGCGCGGTAAAAATATGCAACCTTAGCAGGAGCTAATTTTGCCATGGATTTGATAAATATTTCCAAGAAAAGTTGGAAGTAAGAGTTAATCCAAGAAGATGAAAGGTAGATGACTCATCAAGTGCATTACCATTCATAAATATAGGAAAATCTAGATTGTTGCACTAACAATCAGCTGAAAAAAAATTCAAATTTTATCTGACATAAAGTTCACTAGACACTGAGAGTCCCATACTCTAACAGAAGTGAGATCTTTTTCAAGCTCAACTGCCTCCTCCAAGTTATCAGAGAGTGTTGGCTTCTTATCAAGGCAAAAATAGGTTGTAGTATCATAAGCAAACAGTGCTACCTTAGATGTGAGATTTTCTGGAAGATTGTTAATGTAAATTAAAAAGAGTATAGGGTCAAGTATAGAACCTTGAGAAACCCCTGAAGTTACAGGATATGAAGAAGAGTGCTGTCCATCAAGTACATCTTGACTCTAGTAAGCACTTGTTAAATAGTTTTAAAAGTATAGACACCAGCTCCTGAGAACACTTCTTCAAGGCTATAATAGGTATGTTGTCGGGGCCACAAGCTGTAGAAAAGTCTATGCAGGAAATCACTTTAGATACAGAAGCTGGAGTGATACAAGCCTCAAGGATCAACCTGTTTTTTGACTATATCAGGCGGAATGCAATTAGTGGAATCAAGAGATGATATTGGTGAGAAGTTCGAAGATATTGGCTGAAGTACAAAGTTAAAGGGCTTGGTCAATTTGACCAAATTAACTTTGATATTTTAGCATTGACTACAAATCTGTAACAAATATTACACACATGTCTTCAAATCTTTAATACCTAATAAATAATTTAAGTTTATATCTTGAATAAATATATTTAAAGCATATAGAATATATATATATATATAGTATAAAGCATCAACTTTTATACTGAAGAACTCAGAGTTAATAGTCAAGATTTGAGTTTCTTTTTTAAAATTAAGTTTTTTGTGAAGCCATTTTTTTCCAGTATAATTAGGCCTTCTAATATTCCCCTCAAAAGTGTAATATATATTGTTGTGAATATAGCAAGCCATGCTGAAATCTGTTTTTATATTTTTTAAAAATATGTTTGTAATCTGTTTGTCATTTTTTAAAAATCTGTTCTTTATTAATTTCATCTTTTAATAAATCTGTTTATCATCTTTTAATAAATCTGTTTATCATCTTTTTTTAAAGTGTTCTTAATCAGTTTATTGACTTTTTTAAATCTGTTTACCAGGCTTTCTTGTAAGAGGCATGTGATCACACGCCTTATATGGCCACACATATAGTTCTTTGTTTTAACAACCTGACCACATCTCTTTGCAAGTTTTGATAATTAGGACGTTTAAAAAATGCGCTAAAAAAAAAAAGCAAATGCGATTTTTAATTTAATTGATTCTTTTCAATGATTGCCTTTAATTAAGTTGCATTAAAGTACCTGAGTACTTTAATGCAACTTAATTAAAGGCAATCATTGAAAAAAATATTTAGATTAGAGTTTAAAGGGATCCCAAACTCCCAACACATGTTGTGTTCATATTAAAAATAATGTAAAAAAAAAGGTTTGAACCAAATTTTTTTGATTAAGAATAAATAATGAATGCATACTGAAAAAAACTAATGTTATTGTTTTAGCCGAAGCTCGCCTTCTCCATTTTTTTCAATAACTAGGAGTCTTTAAATTATATGTTGCAATCTACAGACTTTGGCAATTCCTTTGAAGCGCGTTTAATCCATAAAAGTTTTAGTATTTGACGTCATGGTAGACTTTTAACAAATGAAACTCTGGAAATATTTTTATTTATTTTTATTCAAACATTTTTTGATTATTTGTCAAGTTTTTTTTTTCTATTTTTAACATTTAAAAAGATATTAAAAAGCTCAAATATTTTATGCTGGTTCGTTGCTATAAGTTGTTATTGCGCCATATATTTAATGTTTATAAATTATGAATATTTATTATCTCAATCAAGACTCTGATAAAATTGTTTTACATTAATTACCCTTATAAAATTAGTAACATTATTTTTATTTGGTTAGACAATATTTTTTCTCAATTTGCTTTGCATGAAGTTTGGGAGTCAAGCGAAAAAAACTAGTTTGAATAATCACTTTGAAATATATTTAAAACAAATTATTTTAATGATGGGGGCTTGAAAGTTTTTTTATAACAAATGTAGGTAAAAAATAAATAATTAAATAAAAAGTTCAACATTAAACATCGTTTCTTTATTATATTGCAACTGTAAATATTGAAATATTAACTTGAACTAAATTTACTTATTATTTAGAACGACTAAGCAATACAAATAAAAAGCCCCTAAAATTATGCGATATTGTGTTGTTTACTTGATAATTGTTGTTGGTAATGTTGTTTATATTGATTATTTTCATTAATATCAAAAAATAGTCCCAGATTAATCTGTTAGTTGCTTTGTTAATTGTTGCTTTATTTCTAATTTAATTTTATCTCAAAGTATAAATTTATGTTAAGAAAGAAAAGTTTTTATTTCATCGCTCGCTCTTTTTATAAAAGAGTAGAACAAAAGAGAAAGAAAAGTTTCGCGTAATTAAACTTCAAATCAATAAGAGTTGTAAAGAATTTCAATTTTTTTTTGTGTCATTCGTTCTTTTTTTAGATAAATAGAAGAGAAATAAAAGTTTAATAGTAACTTTTTTTTGAATAAATAAGAATTAAAGAGAAAATTGCTTGAAAATTTTTATAATTAAAAAAGTGAACAATTCATCAAATATCTCTAATTAATACTGTCAGTTTATGAAATTAATTGTTGATAAATACTTTTTTTTGACGAGAAAACAAAAAATATCATAGCATAAAAATAACCAGAGCAGTTAGAAAAAAGTTCCCATTGTTTAAATAAAAATAAGTAAGATTCAGAATACATAATACTGTGCTCTCTTGCACATAAACGAGAGACCGTATACATAACATTCTATATAATGTAAAACACTCGTATGAAAATCATAAGATTCGTAAGTAAAGCTTTAATATTT